CTGCTGCTGCTGCTGCTGCTGCTGCTGCTCAGGCGCTGCAAGAAGTGGACGCGCGTCAAGTTGAAACGGAAACAGCAGAGTTTCGGCGATTGGCGCAGCGAAATAAACTGGAAGCATTTTTGTTAGAAATGCAAGCAGCAGCAAGGGGGCCCCTGGGGGCCCCCCTGCAGCAGCAGCACGTGCAGCAGCTGCTGCAGCAGCAGGAGCACTGGCTGCTGGACAACGAAGACGCCTCGGAGCAGCAGCTTGCTGCTGCGCTGCAGCAAGTTACGGAAACCCTGCAGCAAGACTGCAAACCCTACTTCGAAGCAGTGGAGAGAGAAAGGAAGCAAAAAGAAACAGACTTGGAGACAAATGCTGCTGCTGCTGCTGCTGCTGCAGCAAACGGCAGCAAGGAAGACATGGACGTCAAACTCCCCAACTCCCAGTGCATCAAAAGGGCCAAAAAAAATAAAGACGAAGCCAACGAACTCTTCAAAGGCAACCCAAACCCTAAACCCTAAACCCTAAACCCTTCCTAAGCCCTAAACCCTTCCCAAACCCTAAACCCTTTCCTCTCAGCTAAACCCGAAACGCCTCCACGAGTTCTTCTCCGCAGCCCAGAGCCTACCTTCCAAGGGCCCCAGCCTAGGGTCTAGGGTTTAGGGTTTGGGTCGAGGGTTTAGGGTTTAGGGTTTAGGGTTTAGGGTTTGCGCAGACGGGAACGTGGAGCTGGCGGTGCAGCGGTACATCAAGGGTTTGCAGTACTTGTCGAAAGTGTTTGACTTGAAAGAAAACGAAAAGGAAGAAGTCCAAACCCTAAAACAGTGTTTAAATTTAAACCTCGCTCAAGCTTATCTCAAACTCATGGGATCCGATCCCAAGACCCCACACTTCGAGGCCTTCGCCAAGAAGGCCCTCAGCTCCTGCGACGCCGCCCTCGAAATCGAGTCCGAGGGTTTAGGATTTAGGGTTTAGGGTTTAGGGTTTAGGGCTTGGGGTTCGGGGGTGGGGTTTCGGGGGTGGGGGTTCAGTCAGAAGGGCAGCGGGGGTGGGCTGTAGCGTTTTGGGAGGAAAAGGATGGGGTTACGTTTGGGGTTTAGGGTTTAGGGTTTAGGGTTTAGGGTTTAGGGTTTAGGGTTTGGGTTGCGCTGCAGCGATCAGTGCGTGAAAGCGCTTTACCGCCGTGCCGTGGCAAATGAGCGTCTCAAAGAATACGCAAATGGACTGGTGAGGGTTTAGGGTTTAGGGTTTACGGGTCGAGGGTTTAGATTTCAGGGTTTAGGGTTTGGGGTTTAGTGTTTAGGGTTTAGAGTTGAGGGCGTGCGCGCAGGCGGATGTGAAAAAGGCGCTGAAGATGGTTCCTGAGGACGCGGACTTCTTAAAGGTCAGGGTTGAGGGTTTAGGGTTTAGGGTTTAGACCTTGGGGTTTAGGGTCTGGGGTTTAGGGTTTAGGGTCCAGGGTTTGGGGTTTAAGTCGAGGTTTTGTGCCGCAGCTGAAGGAGCGACTGGAGGCCCGAATTAAGGCTGAGAAGGAGCAGCAGAAGAAGATTTACTCAAGGATGTTCAGCTAAACCCTAGACCCTAAATCAGGGTTTGCGCCTCGTTTACATAGACTGGATTGGAACAGAAACTCTTGTTGCAGTTTTGATGTCCTAAACCCTAGACCCTAAACCCTAGACGCTACGTAGCGACTTGGTAGTAAGCAGTCTCGAACCCTAAACCCTTGTTGAAGCAACAAGTGTGTATGCTTTTAGGGATTTAGGGTTTAGGGTTTAGGGTTTCGAGATCTTGTGTTCGTAACGTCAGACGCAAGGCCTGGAAAGCAGCAGCAGCAGCAGCACCTGCTGCTGCTGCTGCTGCACAAACGAAGTTTACACACTCAATTCTAGGGTTTAGGGATTAGGGTTTAGGATTTGGGGTTGAGGTTCTAGGGTTTAGGGTTTCGCTGAAAAGCAAGGGATTGACTGGGGGCCAAAGCTCAGGGAGTGGTCTAAACCCTAAACCCTAGCTCGCACACAGCAACCCTGGCCCGTAGACCCTAAACCCTAAACCCTAAATCCTCGACTAGCGGTTAGCGCCGAGTCATTGCAAATCAGTCGATCTAGGGTTTTGGTCGTGTGGCGCTGGAGATTAAACCCTAAACCCTAAACCCTAGCCCGTAATGTGTGGACCCTAGACCCCATCCCGTGAGCCCTAAACCCTAAACCCCCCTCATTAAGATTCAAATTTGTGTTTTTCGCGCCGAGGCACTAAACCCTAAACCCTAAACCCTAGCTGGCCCACTCATGTGTGACAGCAAGCAGCTTGGCGAGGAGGGGAAACCCGAAACAATAAACCCTGAAAAGGGGAACACAAAAGGAATTTAGACTCATTTTGTTCTTTGGAAGTCCTTCCTTGAAAAATTTAAAATTTAGGGTCTAGGGTTTAGGGTTTAGGGTTTAGGGTTTAGGTTTTAGTGGCTCGGGATCAACGCCGATTGTCTGAGGTGCTCGGCTCCTCTTTTGGTACGAGTGAGCAGCTACAGTTTTTTGTTTTTCTTTTCATTTTTTTCATTTCAAACCCTAAACTCTAAACACTAATTTCTAAACCCTAAACCCTAAACCCTAAAGCGTCGCTTCCCGCCGCGCACGCGGTGAGGCTATGGTGTATCGACACTGCCTGCTTTCTTTCCTTCTGTCACATCCTTCGCCGCAATTCTTTTTCTCCACCTAAACCCTAGACCCTAAACCGTAAACCCTCTCATGTTAAACCGCCAGGCAAAACCCCAAACCCTAATTTCCTTTTTCTTTCTTTTTCTCCTTCTAGCTGCACCTAAGAGAGCTGCAGCTCTCCGCAGCAGCACGGGGGCCCCCCGAAACCCTTTGGGGGCCCCCGGGGGCCCCCTGGAGGCCCTGGGGCTCCCCCTGGGGGCCCCCGAGGGGCCCTTAGTGGGGGCTCCCCGGGGGCCCCCTGGGGGGACCCCTGGGGGGCCCCCCAGGGGCCCCCCCGGGGGCCCCC